TTTTTTTTTCCCCTTCCCCACGTTCTCATACTTTCTCACTTTACAGGTGGGGCTGCAGAGCCTGGGTAGGGGCAGATGAGGAGAACTCAGGAACCTGCATATAATCTTTCGAGAAGTGCACCTAGGATGAGGATTCCTTGGAGGAAATGAGGAGCCCAGGGCAGGGGGTCTAAGATCAGCTTTCCAATCTCTGGCATGCTGTGAGAATCTCTTACTGATCCAGAAGGACTGCTTTTGGTAATATTGATCCCTTTTTACAACCCAAAATCTAAGCTGGAGAGAGGGTTTTTCTTTTTTTCTTTTTCCCCTCTTTCCTCCTCCTTCTCTCTTCCCTCCCCAGGAATGAGAGTCCTAAACGCTCTGAAAGTCACAGTGACATTAGGCTGTTACTTGTACAGCAGTTGACGCAATGTCTGCTTAGAAGAATATGTTGTGGGGATCAAGCCCCCAAAATGCTCACTGAGAGTGCAAAAAAAAGGATCTGAGGACCCTTCCCCCGACCCATTTTTGTAGGTTGCTATTTTAGAGGGAAATAATACCAGCAGCTCAGCCACCTGTCCATCTCAGTTCTGAGAACTAGCCTGATTGGGAACTCTGGAGAACCTTTTTAATGTATACACTTATAATCCTTCTTACTCAAGCACCATCAAAATACCCACTACGTGGATTCTGGCATGTATCTATGCTAGGATCTCTTGTTGTTATTGAGCATGCCTACTACTATTTAATGAATAAGCCACTAAACAAATTTTTAATGGCTCATTTCCACCCATTTTCCTGGATAATCTGGTGTATGCCATTTAAACAGTATCTAAGCACAAACATTTCTCAGTAGTAATTTACAAGGTTCTCTACTGGATATTGCTGCAAGGTGACGTGTCTGCCTGTGTGACAAATGCTGTTGAACTGTTTTTTTTTACATCTATTTTGAGAGGTACAAAATGGCTAACTGAAGCTAAAAGCCTCACTGAAGACAGCTGATTGTTGAACAGGATATATGTCTTTGGAAATATTTCTTTCTATATATCTGATATTAGAGATAAGATTTTTCAAACCCTTGGTTTCAGTTTGTGCTTAAGATCCTTATCTATAGCAAAACAATAAAAATTGGCATCTGTTTCTGCTGCTGCTGTAGGAAATAGGTGGTTTTTCAATTCCACATTTCCTCGCAGAGTTTTGGGGCACATTATCATAGGTTGGGAAGTTCTCATCCATCAAAAGCAGTGAAATGTTTTAGCAGGTCTTCGGCTAGTGCAGTAGTTGGCCAGAATGAGATAGGGTTGAAAACCTACCAATGATATATCACATAAGCAAGCTTCAAAAACAGCATCTGTGTATATATATATATATATATATCTATATATACACACACATACACACATATATATGGAGCTTGTTTCTGCTTTGCTGTCATGTTTCCAAGAGCAGTGCACTGCCTTGTCCGTATATAATTTGAAACTTTGTTTAATGCATATATATTGCCTCGGA